TCTCTCTCTCTCTCTCTCTCTCTCTCTCTCTCTCTCTCTCTCTCTCTCTCTCTCTCTCTCTCTCTCTCTCTCTCTCTCTCTTTCTCTGTTTCTCTGTCATGCACACACATATACGCAAAGGTCTTCAATGATGTGTGCCGTGAGTGAAGGGCCCTCACCAGCACTGAAAAGTGCTCCCAGAAGACTAGATGTGAATGCTCTTATGATGTGTGATTGTTTTCTTTTCCTTTTCTTTCCTTTTTTTTCTTTTGCAGAGGAGGTAGAGGAATACAACAGAAAACAAGCAGAGAAGGCAGCTGCTGGCGAGAAAATGTAGGTGCGCTTCATGAACGTCTTCCTGTAGCTAACAGGCTGTGGTCAGGCCTTGGTCGACCACTGGCCGAATGTGGATACTGGCAAATGTATCTTGCCACTTTTTATGCCATGGTACACTTGGGAAGTTGCACATTTGGTTAGTGTTTGGAGGCGAGGCTTTTCTTCTTTCCGCTTGACGAGTCTCCAGCTTCAGACTTTGGGCATACTCACACTAGGAGTTTTTTGACTGAGATTTGGACGTAATTGGGGTCAGATACAACCAGCATTGTCCCCAATTGCGTCCGGATACATCCTAGAAAGTCCTATTGTGAGTGTATTACCTTACAATGAGAGCACTTCTCTATATTTCCCCCTTTCCTTCGTTTTCTCTTTTTTGCAGCGGCATTTTTTCATTTTATTTTCATCAAATTTCATGACAGATTTGTCCTTTTCTTCTTCCTCCCTCCCTGCACTACCCCCTCCCCCTCCCCCACTCTACCCCGTCAGCCCTTAAACTGCCCCCCAGCTTTTTATTGCCAGACCCCGCGCCTGGTTGATATCCCAACCTAACCTGGCTGGGGGGGGGTACCGTTTTCAATTTGCAACCCCAGCCGAATCTCTGCCGATCCTGCCTGTTTTCGGAGCCTGGTTTAGGAACTTCGGGCCCACCAGGAGCCAACTGGGAATTCTCCCAGTTGGTAACCGGTCGTGCAGCAAGGGTGCTGATTTAAGTGGGACAGTGATGCACATCATTCTGCTGAGCAAAGATTCAATGTTCCCACAAAAAAAAAATCGTATTTTTCAATTTTTGAGCATTTCGTCGAGTTCTCTGCTTTATTATTACGAGTTAATGTCGAGGGGGGCAGCAAAGGTGGCGAAATCAGAAGAAGAAAAAAATTGTATTTTTCAATTTTTGAGCATTTTGCTGAGATTTTCTCCTTCTCTCTCTGGTCACGGACCTTCGAAAACACAGAAGGGGAAAGACACTGCAAGCTTACTAGTCTTCGCAGCTGGTACTGGTTCTAAACGCAGCTAGTCATCCAGTCGGGATTGAGGGTCATCCAAGGTGGAAGGGTTTTGGTGCCCACTTCTCTTCTAGGTCTGTCCCGATCCCATTACACGCCATGCAGTTCTCGTTGGTAATTCCCCTACCCGTCCTTCTGATAGTTACTTTGTCATTCCTACCTCTCCCAACCCCCTCTCCAATCGGTCTCAACCACAGGAATTATCCAGCCTGAAAGCTGTGGTAAACCCTGTCCCAATCAGTGGTCAAAAAGGACCATTGTGCTGCTTGGGACTGCTGCACTGCTTGGGACCACTATTTGGGACCACTGCTTGGGACCACTACTTGGGACCACCGCTTGGGACCACTAACATTACTACAGACCACTTCGCTGCTTGTGAACACTGCTTGGGCAGGTTTTGACCACTGGGGGGGGGGGGGGGGGGGGGACCACTGCTTGGGTGGGGTTGACCACGGCTTAGGGTGCTTGGGGTGGGGTTGACCACTGCTTGAGAAGGGGTTCGCGCCTGCCTAGGACCGGGTCGAGCGCTACTCGAGGCCAGGCGCTAGTGGCTGAGGGTGATGGAGAGGGGGCAGGAAGAGAGGTAGGAACCAAGTAACAGCTATCAGAAGGATGAGTTAGGTGAAGCTGGAACGAGCTGCATGACGTGTGAAACAGGACCGGGATGGAGCTGGTACCACTTTGCTGCTTGTGGACTCTGCTTGGGGCGGGTTTGGCCACGGCTTGGGGTGGGGTTGACCACTTGGGTTGACCACTAAAAAAAGGGTTGACCGCTGCTCGAGGCCAGGCGCGAGTGGTCGAGGGTGACAGAGAGAGGGGGTAGGGAGAGAGGTAGGAGCCAAAGTAATGTCTACCGGAAGCATGAGTTCGGGGAAGTGGGAATGAGAGCTGCATGACGTGTGGAACGGGCCCGGGATGGAGCTTATCCAATCCAAGTGGATGGCATGGGGATGGGGTTGACTTGACTGTGCCCGCCCCATGGAGCCTTGGGGGTTGGGGAGGGGGGTGTGCAGACGTCTGCCTCTGGAAATGTGCTCCTTATCCTTAGTTATTAGACCTCATTCTGCCCTGCACATAGAATGGCTTTCAGGCTTGCCTGGAAGTTTGACCTTCCGTGTTTTGACTTGTGGACTTCATTTCTGTGTGGACGCTGTTTCCTCATTTTTGAAGACTCTTCTTCTCTTTTTTGTTTTTCGGACTTTTATTCTTCTCTTTTAAATTGTCCAGTGTCCACAGTTTTCTGGATGAAGACTTAACTGTTTGACCTTGAGAGTCTAATGCATACTTTCTTTTTTTATTTCCCATCTTGAAGTCTCATGCACGGTGGCCGTCTTCACACACATTTGGGGGTTAGGTTTCCGAAAACCATACCCTACTTGTGAAGGTGTTGGGGGTCAAAACGTGGGGGCTTTCTCACCCTACAGCCGACATTTTTTTGAATACTGATGTTCAGACGTCAATAGCAGACTCATTTTCAAATTTTGGGACCCTATGTGGGGACCCTATTTGCCCAGTTTGCTTTCAAAATCCTGTTCGATATCTCTTGCCGTCTGTTCTGTTTTGCAGACTCTCCGCTGTTGAACATTCTGGCACAGTTTGAGGGTGCTGTGGTGTGCTCTTGAGTAAATTCAAATGTCCAGATAGCTGCTGTATCTGGCCTGGAAATTGCTTTAAATACAGCTGTGATGACCATGCTCTTTATTCGAGCAAAGATGGTAGCATCCTTCCACAAGCTGCTGTTTAAAAATGGCGAGTACTTATCTCACCTGGTGCACTACCTTTTCCCTCGAATAGAACGCCTGGTCGATATAGCAGTACTTGGGGCTACTTTTTGTCTAATTGATATGACTTCATACAATGGGAGGAGTACAAATTATATGTGTTCAACGAGCAGGTCACATGACTTTTCCTTTTGCAAACTGTTTCCACATTTTCTGTTATTCTGATCTGTTTCCACATTCTGTGTTATCCTGATCTGTTTCCACGTTCTGTGTTATCCTGATTCCTGATCTGTTTCCACATTCTGAGTTATCCTGATCTGTTTCCACATTCTGAGTTATCCTGATCTGTTTCCACATTCTGAGTTATCCTGATCTGTTTCCACATTCTGTGTTATACTGATCTGTTTCCACATTTATTTCTTTTCTTGGGCTGTAGGTCTGTTGGTTGGATGATCATACCTGAAAGGCCGTCACCCTTTTCCTAAGAAATGATAAAAAGAAAAAAGATGGTCGTGTCTCTACTCGCGTCTCCACGGATGTGTTTTCTTCTTTTTTTTATTTTCCCCTTGTTGACGTCATCGCTTGCGATCATTAGGGATGGAGCCGCAGTTCGCCCCAGAGTTCCTTTATCGGCCTGCTTGGAGGCTTTTAGTGCTGAAGAAGAAGTAGCAGATTTCTACAGCTCTTCCATTGGAGGAAAGACGACTGCCATCAAGTAAGCAGAAGCTCTCAAGTCTCTCAATCCAGTCGGTCAAAGTCTCATCCTGTGTGCAATGTCATCGATCCACTGTAGATAGCAAATTGATTCGCAAATTTGTTGCAAATTTTAGTAGAAATTCAGTAGTAATTTAACAGAATTTATTGCACAATTTATTACACATGGTACAAAATTCCAGAGTACAAAATTACTAGAAATGTACAAGTAAAGTAGGCTATCAGCCGTGCCGCCCGGATCATCCTGTTTTCCTGGGCGGCCCGGCCGTGCAAGGACCAGGGGGAAGGTCCCAGGAAAAAAAAAAAACGAAAAAAAACAATGTTGTGATGAAAAATAAACTGAACACCTTTTGCCTCAGGGTCAAATCGAAATTCTTTACCTTTTTTTTTTTTGCCCGGGCTGGGCAAGTGGTCTCTGTCCGCTCTGGTAGCGTAGCTGGTAAACAAAATTTACTAGAAAGTTATTCCATAATGGACAGAGACCACTTGCCCAGCCCGGGCAAAAAAAAACTGAATTATGTTTACTAGTAGTTACTAATTTAGTAGTGATTTAGTAAATTTATTACACAATTTATGGCAATTTTTCTTTTCTATTCTTTTCTTTTTGTTTTTTTGTTAAACACTTGGACCATTTCTCGATTTATGTGTGTCATTGTTGCATACTGTATAGGTGCAGACCAGAACAAGAACCGACCTTTCAATACAAGGTATAAGATAGCACAGCGGAAAACTTAGATACCAGTGATCCGAACAATCAATGTTGTAATGCAGCCCTGAACATACATCATCATCATCGTTTCATAGTGTGAATGGCTCTGGCGCTTCACACAGGAAGACAGCGCCAGCCCAGAACATGCACAGACGAGGAGGAAGGGGATAGAC